GGGCCTGGAAGATCGCAGCCGTTAGGGTTAAACCCTAGTAGCCTTAACACCTTGCGATAAACCCACGCTCTGAGAGCAGGACTCAACAGCGAACACAAGCACACACACATACATGCACTGACACCTCGTTAATTTACGTATGGGAGCTCGTCAATCGAAACAAACTGCCGGTCAGCTAGGGGTTATGCTCTTGCCTGCTTTAAATTAAATTGTGTGGTACTGTTAAGGACAGTTATTGATAAAGTGTAACCTCGGTTAAGGGGATTAATCAGTTCCGGCACCGAGCTAGTCATTTGAAACGTTCGCCTTGCAAAACGTAGCCAATCAAAAGTGCATCAGTTCACTGATTGGCTACGGGCTGAAGCCGAGGACTCACGCGGACACAAATACGCACACAGGCACTGATAACTCGTTAACTGATCCGCGGAAGCTCGTCAATCGAAACAAACTGCCAGTCAGCTAGGGGCAACGTCATCTGAAACGTTCATCTTGCATCGTGCCACCCTTTGTCTAGAAGATTTGCTCAATGGTCCCGGCGAAAACACCGAGTGGAGGTCAGCCAGCTGCTGTTGTTTCAGGAGAGGCGAGCGAAAGTCGCGGAATTAGTCTTCCTAGTAGAGTTAACGTCTGGCTGAAAACAAAATCACCCGATTAAAGATTTAAAAGAAAAATAATTATTTCAAAAAAATGATGGAGGCAGGCAGACAGGCTACTTCGATGGGTATTAATGGGAGGTGAGGGATAAATATGCTGTTTTCGACGAGATTACTTGTGTGTCTGTAGAGTGAACAATGTTTTGAAATTGCCAATACAAGCGAACATGCGAGTCCCAGGAGGTAATTGAGAAGAAGACGACTCGATCGCTGGGATAATACTTTTATTCGCCTGATGTTTCGAGATCCGTCGAGGATTCAGCATCAGAGACATTGTCAGATGGCAGTAGCAGACTTTGTTTGGCCAAATTAGGTCTCAGCACCGAATATGCACTGCGCAAATCGTTGCACTTGTTTATGGATTGGGGCCCCGTGAACCATGACTCAAGTAATTCTCGGCTCACCCGATTGTTAATGTCAGGCGAATAAAAGTATTGTCCCAGCGATCGAGTCGTTTTCTTCTCAATTTTTTGAAAGGTGGAACAGTAGTGGTGCAAATCCCACAAAAAGAGGAGCCAATTTGACAGTTTGCTCTTAGCGGCAGGTACTAATTGAATAAATCAATGCAGGTCCAATTTCAATGAAATAGCGCGATTACGTTGGGGGGAGATAGGCTTTCCAAAGTAGTGCGGTCCGATATGACCCTGAATGACGATGGACATGCCTTGCTGGGTACCTCTGGAAAAGCTGATGATGACAAAGACGTTATACCGTATTCCTGACATGGGCACTGGACTAAAGCCCAGGATAACAATAAAGGTGTTCTGCGCCATAGATAGCCCTACCTCCATAGTTCTGTTTGTTAGTTTTGTTAAGTTTAGCTTACTTCACTTCGCTTAGTTTAGTTTAGTATATAGCAGTTATCTGGGTATATTCTTATAATTTTGGCGGTATCTCACTTATTTAAAAAATAAACTACCTTAAACTAAAATTAAATTTATAAACTAAAAACTAAATTAAATTAAAACTAACAAAACTCAAAGTAATCAGAGGACTAGGGGCTAAGGGTATCTAAGGTGTGAGACCAACTTTCTGGAATGTGTGTCAGCCAAGACAGGAGAGACGAGAATGGTCATTTCTAGTTCGTTATCCCTGTCCTCAGTCAATCATATCCAATTGGATTAGGTGAGGTTCGGAATTCGGGTATGGCTGCCTAATGACGGCTAACAAGCCAGGCAAGGCCCTTCTAGTCATCCTTTATCCGCGGTGGCGACCCCTTCTCTTTAGGCTCTACCAGCTGTTATACAACTGTTTATGAGGACTCTAGACTGACTTCGAAGATACGGTTGAATCCGAAATGCTCTTTTACGTTGTTTAAGGTGCAAGCAAACTCTTGTAAACGCGTACATCTATTTTTGTAGGTGAGTAATCGATTCAAGCATGGGTGTTCCATTTCCAGGGCTCACTGGAGGTTCTTCAAGCGGTTGCCGCTGAACACACCCTACGCGCGCGAACTTCTCAATGAACTTTAATCGCAGATTCAGACCGCACCTGTCAAGAAGATCAGAGCAAGCGAGGTAACATCAGTAAAATACACTGTGAGAATCTAGTAAATCTGTAGAACTGACAATATTTAATAAGAGGAAGAAGAGTTCGCTTTTGTTTTGGTTAGAAGCCGTCTATACCACGACATTTAGAAAGGGCTGGTAGAGGCAAGAAATTAGAGGCTTGGAATTATCACCTTGACACTCGTTGATGAATGTTCACCGACCGCTAAAGGAACTCACTTGTCCCGCTCTGGCCTGGGTCTTATTTTTCGGGTCCTGACAGCAACCGTCGCGGCTAATAGTCTGAGTAGATAGTATTGCCGAGCGAGACAAGGGAGACTGGGGGGTTATTTCTGGCTTATTAGCCGTCGTCATCCAAACATACCCAACCCCAAGTGGTGCACCACCCGAGGCTCGACATCGCAACCTTTTTACTCAGGGTCTAACGCTCGAACTGCGAACTCCTTGTCTTGCCGCCTTAGGTCGCGACATATTGGCATCCGATGTTGATATTGACAAGTATCACCTTATTAGGCTTCGCTAACTTCTGGTTGGACAAACCTCCTGTTGTGGTATTCCCCACCATCTTTCAAAATTGGTGACCCCGTGCGAACACATTGTTCTTCCAATTCTACATGGACAGTTTTGCACCCGCGTCTGCCATCCTTACTGGTCGAACGGCCGATGTAGATGCACGGCTTTGCCAAACCATCACTGGCCACACAGCATACTCCACCTATTCCTCCTGTATCTGCTATCTCACTTCTAAAGGCTGAAGTAGCTTCTCTTGTACAGTCAACAGCCCGTCGCTGGGTCTCTCACTGTTTTTGTTTTTTCTAACCAGAACAAATGGGTCAAACTGATCCGCCCGCAAAGCAAAACCACCGATTTTACTCGCGTATCTAGCCCCGGTCTTACTTTCTACGCCTGCAATACCCTGCGTGGCAGACGTTTCCCGATTGATACTGGCGCTGAACTGAATGTTACCCCCCCCCATTCTTCAGTAGCTGACAGTCGCCGCCCAACCCAGGCCTCTTCCTTTAACCTGTTAACGTCTCATAAACTGCCGCCTTTGGTACCTGTGCCCTCTAATTTGATGATCCCCTTGGGTCTTTGTTGTCGCTAACGTGCCCTTTGTCATTCTCGGTACTGACTTCCTCGCGACCTTCGATCTTAGAGTCAACTGCCATTTCCCCCGCCTACAAAACCAGACCACAAAGCTGACCGTTCGAATGATCTGGTTCTCAAAAGCGACACACCGAATCGTAATTCTGGCCCCAAAGAGCCCATTTGGAAGCCCTGGTCAAATATCCTAAATTTACACTTTCCACCTTCAGCGTTTGTACTCCGCCGCACGATTTTGTTCATCACACCCGAACCACTGATCTTCTTGGGTTTTTTCGTCCCAACCCTCTCTCACCTGCGCGTCTTGCTGCTGCCATGGTCGAATTCGAGCACATAGTTCCGATGTGCATCTTCCATTATTCTGAAGGCCCATGGGCCTCGTCCCTCCATAGGACCCCCGGGGCCGCCACTGGTGACTGGCGTCCCTGAAGGGACTATAGGGTGTTGAACAATTTAACCATCTCGGAACGCCAAGACTTCAAGACTTTGCCAGTGCCCTATTCGGCAGGTCTGTGTTCTTGAAGATCCATCTGACCCGTGCCTTTCTGGAGACGCCTATAACTCCAGAGGAAGTTTCGAAGACGGCCGTAACAATCCCCTTTGGTCGGTTTGAGTTCCTGGGCATGCCGTTCAGCGTCCGCTATGCTGCCCAAATCTACTAGACTTTCGTAGACAGAGTACTTCACGGCCTCCCTTTTGTCTGCGCCTACAGTGATGATGTTTAACTTGCCTGTTTCGTAACCGCCGACCACATAGAGCATCTTGCAACAGTGTTTGACCACCTTCAACAATAAGGTGTTGTCTTCAACCGACTCAAGTACATGCTCGGCGTCTCCCTGAGTTTCTTGCACACTTGCTTGACACCAACGGCATCCATCTTCTCCTCGAAGGTTGTTACCATCCGAAATTTCCCACCTCCCCTTCCGAACGTCACCTCTAGTGATTTTTGGGTAGAGTGAACTACCGTCTTAACCTCCGTTACTGTGCCAACATCATTCTGCTGCTTACGAACCTCCTCTCCGGTCCAAAGTGTTCGCGTGAGCTATCCGCAAACGTCATTCCTGCTTTCGACAGTGTCAAGGCGACCCTTAGCAATGCCACCCTTCTGACGCATTCAGCCCCCGATGCTCCCATCCCCCGCACGGTTGAAAGCACCATTGTCACAGTGGGTGCGGTTACCCAGTGGCATAGTGCCGATCAGACTCAACCCCTTGCTTTCTTCTCCAGAAATTTAAAACCTGCCGAATCGCGCTACTGCACATTTGGGCGGGAATTTCTTGTTGTCTACCGCACTGTGAAACATTTCCCGTACTTCCTCAATGGCAGAGAAATAACTGGGCTCCTTAATCAGAAGCCACTTCCCTTCGCTGTCAAATCAAATTCCGACAAGTTGAACCCCGCGCGTTTTGTCAACTAGACTGAGTATCTCGGTTCACCTCAGGTGACATCGATGGGTTACGCCATCAATTGGCTGACACACTGTCAGGTCCTCCATTGCTCATCTGCAACTCACTCTCGTGATAAATCTCGCTGAGATGGCTGCCAAAAACGCCGTGTTAGTTCATCCTGGGACGAGAATGTTTCTAGACTTCAACTGTAGGGCCACACACTGACTACTTGCAACTGCAGCATCTTCTGTGTCATCTCCACCGCTTCTATCGCCTTGTTGTGCCGCCATCCCCCCAGCGAAAAGTCTTCTCCTCCCGGCAAAACCTTTCTCACCCTGGACGTTGAGCTACTGACAAGCTGGTTTCCGACCGCTTTGTCTGGCGTGGAAGCACAAAGACCTGAAAGCTATGACAGGATCGTATCTCGGCTATCTATGGGGTTAAGCCCAACGACACAACAAAGCTTTCACCGGCACCTTCCCTAGCCCCAACGTAAAGTTATGTCATATCTACCTGGAAATTGTAGGTTCCCTGCTTCTGTCCAACAGCTGCTTCTATCCCGTCAATTGTGTGGTTCGATGCCTTCGGTGGCCGGAAACTATCCTTATGTCCGATGTTGTTACTTCAAAAGTAGTCAAGATATTTCCCAGTCGTTGGGGTACCATCTTTTGTGTTTCCTCCACCAGCACGCCTGACCGCCGTGCCCAGTTTTCGTCTTACCTTTTTCAGTCTCCTGTCTGCTTTTAGGCTGTACGCGCATACTCAGCTTATCACCAGGTTGACGGGACCTCATTGATTTTTCAATAGTATGCGATGACATATTAAGAACGCGTTTTAGAGTATATATTTAAGAAATTATTTGCGTAAAAGTCACTCACCTGAACATTTGCCCTTGAATAAACACATGCGCAACTCAAACCTGTAGTTTTTCGAACGTTTAGGTTACTTAACGGGAGGCAAATGGACTGTTCCTACGTCGAACGGCAAAACTTGTTTTTTGCCCAATTTTTCCCATTACATGCAACTCGTATTCGAGACATGGATTCGTATGCATCAGCCACCGTGGAAAATTTACGAAGACGGTTGTGACTTGAATTTCATTGGTGTGACTGGAAAATGGGTCCACGTTTAAAGAAGTATCTTCTTTCTTGTAGGCAATTGCGCAGTAAACATCAATTCATGTTCAATCAAGGCCGACAATAAGAACTGGAGACACGTCAAACTGCTTATATTGAAAAGAAAATGTTAGCAATATTAAGAAAAATGGATTTGGTATGGCCAGTTACTGCTTATGAGAGTGGACTAATCAAATTTTAAGATAAGTGTCAGATTTGTATAGGTCGATTTATCTAAGTGAAGAAACGACTTATAGTCCTTATTATTCTTATATAAATTATCCGTAAGTACCAGTCCTTACTTTCTGAAGAACCTGCTGCTATTTCCTTCACTGGTTTGGTAAAATACTGTTTGTTGACTGCTCAGATAGCATTCTGCAATCCGTTTGTCTTGATTTTAGTGGTTTATATAAGATTAAGCCGTTAGGTTACCTCTGAATTCGAGCCAAATTCTGTAGCTAGTCTGCTTGTAGCGTCAATAGGAATGAAGGCAACAGTTTCATTTCATAAAAAGCCCAAGTAATCTAGACCCAAACGGTGTTTGAGAGGAGCTAGTTATATCATAATTTACATCAGTCTTTCGTCTGACATCAGTATTCAGCCGAGTGTTAAGGCCGAACAAATAGATTTATCTGCGATGAAAAAATGCAACGAATTTATGCTCAAACATGGCTCGGTTCTCTTCATTTTTGGAACCCTATTCGATGGGAACATCTTTGCCGTTCCCTCCCATAAATGCAAGCGTCTAGATGCAGTCGTTCATTTAGTCGCATGTGAATCACAGGACAAGCAGGAAATAACATACAAATTCCCTCTAAAAAAACGTTTCCAAATCCACACGGCCAATGGAATTTGCTGTGCATTTTCTGTTCTCTTGTGTATTCAAATATAAAATAGCAGACGCTATTAGACTGTCATTTCGTAGCAATAATACACCCATTTTAGTTAATCCCTTTTCACTCGTTGAAGTTGACTCCATTTTCAAAGAGCGAGATCTCGTTTCCAAAAATCTGTCATGATCTCACTCCAATTAAGCGAAAAACAGGGTCGAGTTTGTCTGATAAAAACTTTAACTTCACCGCAACCCGCTCAAGTTCCCGGTCGTAGCACTATGAAACATAGGGGTCGCGTAGTATTACTCCTGGAAAACCTGGCTTACCGCTCCCGATACGGCAACCATCTCCTTATGACCCGACGCCCCTGACTACTCTCAACTTAGCTGTTTCCTCAGTTGCCGTGGCTAATAATTCTGGAAGCCCTTCTAGAAATTCCGAAACTCCGACTACGCCAGGTAGACCAACAGCTTCGCAATTCGATATAAGTCCTCTTAAACTTCCCCTTAACTCACCCAATTCATGTGGTCGAAATGGTGTGATCCAGAACTCTATCCCAAGTATGCTGCCTTCCCCGGCAGCACTAAGCCTATACAACAGGAGAATAGCGCCCATGTAGGTTACCCTTAATATCTGA